GCCGACAAAGTGCACGTGACGTCATTCTAGACTACTAAGGTCAGACCGTGACCCTGCCCGAGTCTGATGGCGATTCGAATAAAATCTGTTGATCGATCAGGGCGCAGCAGCATGCTAGGCGCCGACGCACTTCGTCCTCGGCGTCGTCTCTCCTCTTGCGTCGTTCTAGCCTGGATAAGATCCTTGCAGCGTACCACTTTTCTACGCTCTGTTGGCATGTTGAATCGCAATGTCAGCCGATACATATAGTGTCAAGACCTAAAGGATTAAATAAATTATTACAGGAGTATTAAAAATCGAACACATTACCAGAATGTCAACAATCTCTGCGAAATGAAAATTCCAAAATCAAGCCTGAACGACAGATAGTTGAGGCTATCGTTGATTCTTGGTTCTTATTATTATCAAAACGAAAATGGAGATGTTAACATCGTGACTGGCTACTTATTGTAAATCTCCTCCATCCAAGGGTGTAACGTTCAAACATTTCGAGGGCAAATTTTCAGCTGACAGGTTTGTGGACAGAATTGGTGGGTGAAGGCCAACGTCGATGACTTCTTACCTGTTACCCGCACGGTTTCGTGACTTCATAAGGAAAAGGCGGAGGTAGCTGGCTTTCTCCAAAGCCACTTAACCCGGTCCAGTAACATCCATCCATGAACCGTCACGCCTGTGACATTTTCGATTGCTTTGTATCGGCCACACCGCGAACAAATCCCCTTTCGCGATCGCGTTTTCGTATGAAATAGGCGTTAAACACATTTTACGATTTCCAGGGGGCTTGGCAGGATACATAAATAAACCGCGGCAGGGAATTACAAACGATTGTTGGGTTCGCCGAGACACCGGCGGCGGTGTTTCATGTGGTTCGTAACAGTTAGATTCTTCTGTTACTGTTCCAATTAGAGGTTGCACGTTACAAGGAGGGGCCAGACATTTAAATTACTCACTTTTCCATGAAATTAAAATAAATTACTTAGCACCGTGGAACGGTACGCTGCTACTATACGTTGTATGTGGGGATTAACGATAATGGCTCGAGCTATTTCGTGACCGAAAGTAATACCATAAAGAAAGAAAGAACAATGGATACGAGGCCAATTCTCGTTTCTCTCGCAGCGACGAAGTTCCGTCGAAATTGAAATTTTTGGCCGTACGTAATTAATTGGCCATGGAACGTTTCCTTCCACGAGAGGAGCATTTCGTGGCGGAAATAGTACTCGACGGCTATTTTCGTCTGCTGCTTTACGACGAGTGCTCCGCGGATGCAAACATTCAGAGAGTACTCATCGCTGGCTAAAGCAGCAGCAACAGCAGCAGCAGCTTTAAAGTCGTACCGAGTGTCATTAGCTATTCAACTAACGAAAGAATCCGCGGGATCTCGTCGTTTATCAGGTATCGCTGCGTGGAATTCAAATTCAATTGGATACGAGGACAGGAAGAGAAGACGGCGCGACTCGCCGTGCCGAAAAGTCGCAGATCGAATCACCGAGACGAAATTGACGTGCCAGGGAAATGGCGTGAAAGAAAAGAGAGTTACGTTCTCGAGGACGACGTGGTCGTGGCATAATTGGGCGTGACGATCCGTTTGTCCCATTCGACCGAAGTCTAAAAGCCGCGGTACTTTCTAGGCCAGACGGTCTCTCTCGACGAGAAAACGAGCGTACATCATTTTCTGACCCCTTCTTTCTTTTTCCCCTCTTTCTCGTTATTTATAAGGACTGCACGTAGGATTGAACTATCGCAACCATATCGATGACCATAAAAATAGAGCTATCGACCTGACAATCGCAGAAGATAAGCCAATTCATTCATAGTGCTCGAAACTATAAATATAAGCTTTGCGTTCGTCGCGTAAAAGGTGTTAGAGTGTCTCAATGTCGTATCGAATCTCTTAAATCGAGTTCTGAGATAAAAAACGTTGATGAAGCAATTTATACGAGATCACGTCGAGGTGTAACGCATAATTTGTGCCTCGTTAGTTAACCATGCATGCTGATAGGAAATCGCGTGGAAATACGTCGAATGCGTTTACGAATTCCACGGATTGGAGGTTCCAACCTGTTCCAGGATCACTTGATTTACGATCGATTTCTCGCGATTCCGCTTCAGGAATCAGCCGACGAACGACTGACTAAAACAAACATCGAAGCATTGAAATGACGAGCTCTTCCATGCGCGTTAATATTCATCTCGCTAATTAAATGAGTATTGAGCGCAGATGGTAAACCAGATGATATCCTGTGGATTATAGATAATTAGAAAACGTTTCAAATCAATTGTTGATTCGGCACATTACAGTTATTGAGTTAACTGTAACGAGATAATGACTCGATGGAACGTTTCTTGTGGAATTTTCAATGGGAAATCTTGCTCCCTCATCCTTTGAAATTAAGATTCCATTTAAGATTAAGTCTCACTTAACATTCGGTCAGATAGAAATCACTACTGGAATAGCAATCTCGCGGCTGCTTCGATTCCAATTACAAGTGGATCACGTTCATATGGTTGTTTTGCAATATTGGTACGGAGAGATGCTGGGGGGAGAGGGGGGAGGGGAGAAATAATCATAATTTATGAATGACACAACGCTGAAAGGAGTTTTCATCAAATTTCATGGGTGTGTTTTTAAGACTCGCACGGTAGAAAGTTTTAGAAAATCGTTCCGTTTCCTTGAATATTTCTATGAAAAGAGAAGAATCGACCGAGTATCTTAATACCTTAATCACGAACAAGGAACATCATTCAGTTGATTCCTTTCACAAAGAAAAAGAGTACGCTGCAGAGCTTGGAAAAGTGTTAGAAAAAAAATGCCATAGATAATTATTTTAGGAATCAGGTCTATTTTCTGTGAAACGTGATCAGCGAACTTTGGCTCACAAAGATAATTTAAACACTTGCAGAAATAATTTATAAATGTATTATGTGTATCATACGTAATGTTACGGAATTTCATTAGCACCCGATTGTTTCTACAACTATCGTGAAATTTCAAGAATATATTCACAGCAACTGTCCACAGTAAATGTCCAAATACTTTCACGAGCCATTTTAAATACTTGTTTAACCCAGTAAGAGTCAACGTTACGTGAACGTAACATTTTACTCGCAATTGTCAAATTGTTTTTCAAACGTTTCATTCACACGGGCAAACTCGCTCAATTCTTTCCTTTCTCGTGCCATTTAAATTCTGTAATTTGATAGAATCAAAAAAAAAAAAAAAAAAAAGAGACTGTAGTATACTAAGGATTTTTATGCATTTATGTATGAGAAATTTGAATGGACAGAAACACATAGAACACGCAAATTAATATATAAAATATCCAAAGTATAGGAGATAAAAAAAAAACAACGAATCTCTTAGTTATGTTCACGAAGAGTTTGCACGGATATTTATAACCTCGCGATAAACTAGATCCTTGCGATAAGCTCGATTCTTAATGGGTTAATAATTATTCTGTCGTCGTGGCGCTTCGGCAAACAAACGATTCTATTATCCTGGAATTTCGCGCGCGCTCGATGTAGAGTAATAGACGATATGTGTGGGCGTTGCGTGTAGGTGAGATCTCAACTCTCACTTGAGACTGATTCGCAAATATCAACACCCACGTTGATTGGTCGAGAGGACAAACAGAATGGATCGAGGAATTGCATTCGACAAGCGGGTAATTCACTGAACCTTTTCTC